CTGTGGCTCAAGTGGTAGAGCACTAGCCTTGAGCTGAAGAGCTGAGGGACAGCTCCCAGGCCCAGAGTTCAGGCCCCATGACCGGACCCAAAAAAAAAAAAAAAAAAAAAGAAAAGAAAAAGAAAAAAAATTCAAATACAAAAAAAATGGTGATCCCTTCAACCACACAGCTTGCAACACAGCACAAATGTGGCGAGTACTTTTTTCTCCTAGTAACTTTCATGTTCAGTAAAAAGGAAAGGAAAGAGTTATTTCTAGTACATTTCCTTCTATTGCCAGTCGGTGCAGAGCCAGTACTAAAACATGATGATATTCGTTTCCACAACAAATAGGTTAGTTGTTCCAGTTTGGAATGAGTTCTTTTTCCTGGTGGTTTATATAATTTGCCCAAAGGAAAAACAGAAGCTATTTTTAAGTAAATTATTTTATTACGATTACACAACGTTTCTCCAATTCCAAGCCTCTTTTATACTTAGATGTGTAGTTTTGACAAAAGTATTTAATTTGAGCTCAAGTTTACACTCATGGACAGGAAGAGTATGTCTGAATCCATTATTACCCTGATAAGCTTCCCACTTAGTATGTAAAATAGGAATGCTGAAGTATTCAGTATGATGACAGCAATGAAAATTCCCACCACTGCCTATTCATTGAACTATTACTGAATTATTCATTGAACATATACAAGTCTAAATTGGCTCAAGATACAGTTATAGTGTGTGTTTCATTTGGAGATGAGAAATTAATTGTCCCAATAATTTCCTTACATATTGTACTGATGTCAATACAAGTTGTAATTACATTCTCATAATTAGTATAAAATATAGATAAGAATGAAGTCACATGTGTGTATGTTTCAATGAAAACATACACATATGTCATTATTTTGTAGATTTTGTAGAGAATTTTGGTGGAAACATTGCATTTTTCACTACAGTAGACTACAAGAGTTGCCAAGATACCCAAGAATCCATCCACAGGACAATGGAGCTTCAAAGTTTCTTAGTGCAAATTCTTTTCAACAATACGCAGTATGTAAATACCTTTTTAAAAAAAAAAAGAAGAAGAAGCTGTTTTCTTCTTCCTGCTGGCTTTTTGTTTTTTTTAATCAAGGATGCCTACTTGCTTCTGAATTTAAACTCTTGAGTGGTAGATCAAATAAAATCACAAATGAAGGACTCCCAGAACCAAGTCTGACAAATAGTAGATGCATGTTAAAAATGTAAATTCTAAGCCAGTTTCCAGTGACTCATGTCTGTAATTCTAGTTACTCAGGAGGCTGAGATCTGAGGATCCCGGTTCAAAGCCAGCCCAGGCAGGAAAGTTCATGAGACTCTTATCACCAATAAGAAGCTACCAGAAAATTGGAAATAGCTCTGTGGCTCAAGTGGTAGAGCCCTCGCCTTGAGCTGAAAAGCTGAGGGACAATGCCCAGACCCAGAGTTCAAGCCCCACAATCAAGAAAAAAAAGTTAAATTCTAATTGCCACTATTATTATAAGAAATAATTGAAGCTGTTACATGCATTGAACCATGATATTTCTAAGAATCTTGGTACACATCAAGATTC